AAGAGATGTCCAGATTAACTGATTGTTGACTTATACCCCCATCTGCTGTTTTTATGGTTACAAATTCCAGTTTGGGGGATGAAGGCAATAAAAATGGTTGACATTGGTGAAAGATACTTAATGCCAATTGACACAAGTTACATTTATAATATCTTGTAATTTATACTTGACTTTTTCTATTTTTGTTTATAGTATTTTTGTGAGTTTTTTGTCTTCTATAAATAGTGAAAAATTAGAGATAATATATGATAGTTAGTTGAACTATAGCCAATAATTATTTAGCTCTAGGGGGCAGCAGATCTGCAGCTATACATAAATCTACAAAAATTACAGTTTTAATTGTCTCACATTGTTATTGTGCAATCTTAGCTTCATTTATTACCTACCCTCCCTTAATTGCATATGCAGTTTTATTTTCAGTGGATCTCACATTCAAGAGCCTTTGCATACTCATCCTTTATGAGCTTCCATTATAAGAAATCAGCTTATGAATGTTGTTCATAAATCGTTTTATAACCAGTTGCTTCAATTTTATTTCAAATAAAAGTGTAAACAATTTACATGTAATCTATGATATTTTCAAGTGTTTTGTTGAATTGTTCTTAGGTCATATGTTTATTCAGTCCTTAAACAAGTAAATATTGAGCACCTATGTTGTGTCAAGAGTTGTTTCAGACAATGGGGAGATAGCAGTAAAAAACAAACAGCAATCCCTGTGTTCATGGAACTTATCTTTTAGCAAAAGGGAGAAAGACACTAAGCAGATAAATTTTAAAAAATTTATGTCAAGTGGTAATATGTGCTATGGAGAACAATAAAATAGAAAGCCAAGATAAGAAGTGCCACAGGTGAAGGTAAGATGAAGTTTTTAAATAGAGTAGTCAGGCATGGTACATGGAGAACATATTTCTGAGCAAAAAAGAATCCCCAAGGAGTTGAGGGAAAGAGCCATGTGCAATTTGGAAGGAATCATAAGTTCAAAGGTCCTGAGGCAAGAGTCATCCTTGTTTGTATGAGAAAGATCATGGTAAGGGCTTCTGCATTTATTCTGTGAAGGACAAAAACCCATGTAAAAATTTTGAGCAGAGGAGACATGATTTGACTCCCATATTTAAAGGTCAGAAGGCCACAAAGGCAGCAACAAGGGGGAAAATATATTATTAGTGTAACCAGAAAGAGTAATATTCCCTTGAGTCAGAATTGGTAGTAGTAGTAGCAGAGGCTGTAAGACAGTGAGATTCTGGATGTATTTTATAGATAAAACAAAGATTTCTGATCTATCCAATGATGGATGAGAGCAAGAGATGGGTCATTAATCCAGATCTCTTCCTGAAATGGGAGGCATGGAGTTGTCACAAGCTGAGATGGGAAGAAAAGCAGGAGGATAAAGTATAAGCAGACAGAATCAGAACTTTGGTTTTAGATCCATTTCTATCGAGATACGTGTTAGCTGTCCACGTGAAATGGCTGAGATAGCAATGGGATATGTATATTGGAGTCCAGGGAAGTTGGGCCTGAAATATAATCTTATGAGGAATTGGCATTTAGAAAATGTTTTAAATGCATGAGACAAGGTGACATTAAGATTGTGGAAAAAAAAAGATTGTGGGTGTAGAGAAGAGATCCAAGAACTGGGCTCTGGGGCATTCTCATGTTACTTTGTGTACTGTGGAGGAAATGAGGACAAACAGCGGAGGAGATGGAGAATGAAAAGCTAGAAATTTAAGAGGAAAACAAAGAGAGAATTATGTATCAGAACCTAGTGAAGAAAAGGTTTCAAGAAAGAGAGAGTGATCAACTATGTTCAATATTACTGACACATAAGGTATGCTCAGGAGGAAAAATTAAATGTTGGATTTAGCAATATAGAGGTCATTCATGATAGATGCACTTTCTGTGGAGTGATAAAGTACAGAAAAGGAAAGAAGTCCTGATATGTGCTACGACATGAATGAACCTTGAAAACATTATGCTAAGAAGTCAAACACAAAACACCATATATTGTATGATTCTAATTATATGAAATGTCCAGAATCGGAAAATATATAGAGATGGAAAGGAGATTTGTGGTTGTCAGGGTCCTTGGAGGAGTAGGGAATGGGGACTGACTTACATGAGTATGGGTTTTATTTTGGGATGAGGAAAACATTTTGGAATTTGTGGTAATAATTGTACAATATTGTGAATGTATAAAAGCCATTGAATTGTCCACTTTAAAATGGTAAAAATGGTGAGTTTTATTTTCTGTGAATTTTACTTCATTAAAAAATATTTAAAAAAAGCTCACTGGAAAGAATTGGTGTCAGAGTCCATGTAAATAGGCAGAACACAGGAAGTTAGTTGGAGAGGGCCATAGGGTCAGAGGGTTCTCTTAAGATGGGTACAATTTTGGTGCCTTTGTGTGAAGTGAAAGAAAACCTATCAATGTAAAGGAGGGGAAGAAATTGCTGGAAAATTCCCAAAACAGGGAGGAAGAGATGATTTTCTGTAGAAACATGGGCAGCAGTGCAAGGAGATGGGTTTTGGTTCTTGGAGGTCTTTGTGCTGTTTCCTCTCATTTCCCCCCAAAAAATGTGAAACGATGATTAGCAGAGAATGATAATAGGGGAGAAGGAGTTGGCTGTTGAAGGAGGGAGGGATAAAGGGTTTGAATAGCTGGTTAGGAATGGAGGAAAAGGAAAGAAAGGGGAATGTGTTAGGCTGGCCACAAGCAATGGAGAGGGTGGTCACAGATATAAAGCCATTTCAGTCATCATGGTGGTGAGCTCTCCTTCATTAACCTTCAGCCACACAAATGTAGACTGGAATGGTGGTGAGTTTCCTGGAGGTGTCAGCTTATTGCTAATGATGCCTTTGGCTGCAAATACCTGGAGCACTCATCTGGGCCCATGCTGCTAATGCGAACCCCCCCTCCCCCCACATTTCCCTGACCAGAGCTCTTGGGGCTGCCCCAGACCTTGTGGCTATGGTTAGGATTGCAGGATGCACCCCAGCGATAGCCATCAGAGAACTTTGAAAAAAAAAAAAAAAAAACAAGGTTCATTACTCATAGGTCTTGGAGGATACCCAGCACATCCAAGTCCAAGGGCCATACAGCGAGGTCATGGAGAGAGGGTGAGCATCGGGTTCTGTCTTCATTGGGTCCAAGGGCGGCGGGCCTAGGGTTTTGAGGACTCACTCTATTGGTGAATTGAAAATGTGTGGGACTTAAAGGGCAGGAAGGGAGAAGCAGGGTTACTCAAGTCATCCATTATCTAGGCCACCCAGGGCTTTCTAAAAGGGGAACTCCAGGGCAGCCCTGATGGCTCAGCAGTTTAGCGTCTGCCTTCCGCCCAGGGCGTGATCCTGGAGACCTGGGATCGAGTCCCCGTCGGGCTCCCTGCATGGAGCCTGCTTCTCCCTCTGCCTGCTTCTACCTCTGCCTGTGTCTCTGCCTCTCTCTTTCCTCTCTGTGCTTCTCATGAATAAATTGTTTATTTGAGATGGAGGTCTTTGAAATGGAGCCCATCAAAAGCTTAACATCAAGCACTTTCATTTGTTAAAAAGAAAACCACAAGCCTAGGTGTCACCTGGGCAAGGCTAAGTTACAAAACTAGGGCTTAATATCTAACCTAATTACAGTTTCAGCTTCCTCAGAAATGTGTCTTAACCTGCCAATCAGGAATTTTCTGATCAGCACTAATGAGCTGCTCTGTCACATGGTCCCTTCTCTATCCCCCAAAGGAAGATGAAGCAATCTACCTAATAAGACTCCTTGGCTTTCTCCAAGGGAAGGTGACTTTGCCTGGAACAAGCCTTTCTTCTCTTTTGCGAATAACTCCTAGCCCCACTCTCCTTCCTATAAAAACCTTCCATTTTGTACAGCTCCACAGAGTCCTGCTCTACTTGCTAGATGGGATGCTGCCCAATTCATGAATCTGCTTAATAAAGCCAATTAGATCTTTAAATTCACTCTGTTGAATTCATGTTCTTTGACACAGTATGATAAAAAAGAAAGCTATTTATGGGAGACTTACAGTATGCATCAGGTTGTACTTAACAGAGTTTTTGCCCTGATGGTATGAGGAATCATAGGAGCACCGACAGATGGCTCTAACACATCGTTGAGAAAGGACATGAGAACATGAAAGAGGATGAAAGGAATTAGAAAACTGTAGGACCAATAGGTTGTGGGGCCTAGTGCTGTCAAAAAATTGTTAGAGCGGAGATACTGGAAGGAATGAGTGGAGAGACGGAGGTGATGGTTGGGGAGTGGACGGCTCAAAGTTAAGGTAAAGGAAATGTCATCACTAATAATGACAGTAGTCAAAGGAGCAGTGGCAGAGGTCATTTTACTGAACCTTTCTTCATGATCATCAATGAGAAAAAAGCAAGAAATTAAGAGGCAAGATGAAACTAAAGGTGAAAATTATAGTGACAGTGAGTCAAGAGCCAAAATCTTCAGGGTGGGTAGTGGTGGCACCAGTGTCTGTGGATGACTGTCACAAGCTGGCATAGTGAGGTATGTCACTGAATGTCAGGAGACTCACAGCTTAAGTATTTTTGGAGAGGAGATAGAATTGTCTGGAAGTGGCAACAGGGCACTTTGCAGCCTTGTATTGGGAGGGCAATGGAGGGAAAAACAGACACCATGGGAGAGGATTGCAGGGCAGTATTTCCAGTAGATCAACTTCCACTTAAAGAGAATGGCCTATGTTTTAGTTGATATGTGTACAATTATCCTCCTGATTATAGGTTTTTGTTTCCATGTGAAGCCATGTTACTTCCGGAGAGACATGGAAGCTCAGTCGTTACCCCAGAGACCTGGTTAAAAACCCAGAAGCATGGGCATGGTCATACTGTTCTGTTTCTCTATGTGTAATGTTGCATGAGGGGAGATGTGGCCACAGAGAGAAGCTGGGTGGGAGTGCTTTCTAGAACAAATGCTAACATTTTAAGAAATACACGTGTCTTTCCAGATGCACCTAAATCTCACTTCTTGCCAATCTTTAAATTTAACAGATGAAATTTTACCATGTCAAGCATTGAATACAGAGCAGGAACCGTGCCATCTAGATACAAGACTCTGCAGTTTTGATTCTACAGATGAAGGATTGAGGTGTAAGTGTTAAATTGAGCTAATTGTTTTTCATTTTTATGCAGATTTTTAAAAATGTTTATCTCTAATCTTTGAAAATGTCATGATGATGAGTGCAGATGTGAACCTATTTTTATTTACAATTTTCAATGCTCAGAATGCATTTATTTTATCATTTGTGGAAATGGTGTGTTACTATTTTTAAGTGATTCTCTTCTCATCCCTCTGTTCTGGTCTTCTGGAGCTTCTATTAAGTGTTTGTCCTAGGGGCCTCTGTGTTAGTGCTTTCTATTTGTTTTTTTTTTTTTTTTTTTTATAAATTAATTTTTATTGGTGTTCAATTTACCAACATACAGAATAACACCCAGTGCTCATCCCGTCAAGTGTCCCCCTCCGTGCCCGTCACCCATTCACCCCCACCCCCCGCCCTCCTCCCCTTCCACCACCCCTAGTTCATTTCCCAGAGTTAGAAGTCTTTATGTTCTGTGTCCCTTTCTGATATCTCCCACACATTTCTTCTCCCTTCCCTTATATTCCCCTTCACTATTATTCATATTCCCCAAATAAGTGAGAACATACACTGTTTGTCCTTCTCCGATTGACTTACTTCACTCAGCATAATACCCTCCAGTTCCATCCACGTTGAAGCAAATGGTGGGTATTTGTTGTTTCTAATGGCTGAGTAATATTCCATTGTATACATAAACCACATCTTCTTTATCCATTCATCTTTCGATGGGCACCGAGGCTCCTTCCACAGTTTGGCTATTGTGGACATGGCTGCTAGAAACATCGGGGTGCAGGTGCCCCGGCGTTTCATTGCATCTGAATCTTCGGGGTAAATCCCTAACAGTGCAATTGCTGGGTCGTAGGGCAGGTCTATTTTTAATTCTTTGAGGAACCTCCACACAGTTTTCCAGAGTGGCTGCACCAGTTCACATTCCCACCAACAGTGTAAGAGGGTTCCCTTTTCTCCACATCCTCTCCAACATTTGTTGTTTCCTGCCTTGTTAATTTTCCCCATTCTCACTGGTGTGAGGTGGTATCTCATTGTGGTTTTGATTTGTATTTCCCTGATGGCAAGTGATGCAGAGCATTTTCTCATGTGCATGTTGGCCATGTCTATGTCTTCCTCTGTGAGATTTCTCTTCATGTCTTTTGCCCATTTCATGATTGGATTGTTTGTTTCTTTGGTGTTGAGTTTAATAAGTTCTTTATAGATTTTGGAAACTAGCCCTTTATCTGATATGTTATTTGCAAATATCTTCTCCCATTCTGTAGGTTGTCTTTGAGTTTTGTTGACTGTATCCTTTGCTGTGCAAAAGCTTCTTATCTTGATGAAGTCCCAATAGTTCATTTTTGCTTTTGTTTCTTTTGTTTTCGTGGATGTATCTTGCAAGAAGTTACTGTGGCCAAGTTCAAAAAGGGTGTTGCCTGTGTTCTCCTCTAGGATTTTGATGGAGTCTTGTCTCACATTTAAATCTTTCATCCATTTTGAGTTTATCTTTGTGTATGGTGCAAGAGAGTGGTCTAGTTTCATTCTTCTGCATGTGGATGACCAATTTTCCCAGCACCATTTATTGAAGAGACTGTCTTTCTTCCAGTGGATCGTCTTTCCTCCTTTGTCGAATATTAGTTGACCATAAAGTTCAGGGTCCATTTCTGGATTCTCTATTCTGTTCCATTGGTCTATGTGTCTGTTTTTGTGCCAGTACCACACTGTCTTGATGACCACAGCTTTGTAGTACAACCTGAAATCTGGCATTGTGATGCCCCCAGCTATGGTTTTCTTTTTTAAAATTCCCCTGGCTATTCGTGGTCTTTTCTGATTCCACACAAATCTTAAAATAATTTGTTCTAAGTCTCTGAAAAAAGTCCATGGTATTTTGATAGGGATTGCATTGAACGTGTAAATTGCCCTGGGTAGCATTGACATTTTCACAATATTAATTCTGCCAATCCATGAGCATGGAATATTTTTCCATCTCTTTGTGTCTTCCTCAATTTCTTTCAGAAGTGTTCGATAGTTTTTAGGGTATAGATCCTTTACCTCTTTGGTTAGGTTTATTCCTAGGTATCTTATGCTTTTGGGTGCAATTGTAAATGGGATTGACTCCTTAATTTCTCTTTCTTCAGTCTCATTGTTAGTGTATAGGAATGCCATTGATTTCTGGGCATTGATTTTGTATCCTGCCACGCTACCAAATTGCTGTATGAGTTCTAGCAATCTTGGGGTGGAGGCTTTTGGGTTTTCTATGTAGAGTATCATGTTTTTCGGCGAAGAGGGAGAGTTTGACTTCTTCTTTGCCAATTTGAATGCCTTTAATGTCTTTTTGTTGTCTGATTGCTGAGGCTAGGACTTCCAATACTATGTTGAATAGCAGTGGTGAGAGTGGACATCCCTGTCTGGTTCCTGATCTTAGGGGAAAGGCTCCCAGTGCTTCCCCATTGAGAATGATATTTGCTGTGGGCTTTTCGTAGATGGCTTTTAAGATATCGAGGAAAGTTCCCTCTATCCCTACACTCTGAAGAGTTTTAATCAGGAATGGATGCTGTATTTTGTCAAATGCTTTCTCTGCATCTAATGAGAGGATCATATGGTTCTTGGTTTTTCTCTTGCTGATATGATGAATCACATTGATTGTTTTACGAGTGTTGAACCAGCCTTGCATCCCGGGGATAAATCCTACTTGGTCATGGTGAATAATTTTCTTAATGTGTTGTTGGATCCTATTGGCTAGTATCTTGTTGAGAATTTTTGCATCCATGTTCATCAGGGATATTGGTCTGTAATTCTCCTTTTTGGTGGGGTCTTTGTCTGGTTTTGGAATTAAGGTGATGCTGGCCTCATAGAATGAGTTTGGAAGTACTCCATCTCTTTCTATCTTTCCAAACAGCTTTAGTAGAATAGGTATGATTTCTTCTTTAAACGTTTGATAGAATTCCCCTGGGAAGCCATCTGGCCCTGGACTCTTGTGTCTTGGGAGGTTTTTGATGACTGCTTCAATTTCCTCCCTGGTTATTGGCCTGTTCAGGTTTTCTATTTCTTCCTGCTCCAGTTTTGGTAGTTTGTGGCTTTCCAGGAATGCGTCCATTTCTTCTAGATTGCCTAATTTATTGGCGTAGAGCTGTTCATAATATGTTTTTAAAATCGTTTGTATTGTTGGTGTTGGTAGTGATCTCTCCTTTCTCATTCATGATTTTATTAATTTGAGTCTTCTCTCTCTTCTTTTTAATAAGGTTGGCTAATGGTTTATCTATCTTATTAATTCTTTCAAAGAACCAACTCCTGGTTCTATTGATCTGTTCCACAGTTCTTCTGGTCTCAATTTCGTTGAGTTCTGCTCGAATTTTAATTAACTCTCTTCTTCTGCTGGGCGTCGGGTCGATTTGCTGCTTCTTCTCTAGCTCCTTTATGTGTAAGGTTAGCTTTTGTATTTGAGTTCTTTCCAGTTTTTGAATGGATGCTTGTATTGCGATGTATTTCCCCCTCAGGACTGCTTTTGCTGCATCCCAAAGATTTTGAACAGTTGTATCTTCATTCTCATTAGTTTCCATGAATCTTTTTAATTCTTCCTTAATTTCCTGGTTGACCCTTTTATTTTTTAGCAGGATGGTCCTTAACCTCCACGTGTTTGAGGTCCTTCCAAACTTCTTCTTGTGATTGAGTTCTAATTTCAAGGCGTTATGGTCTGAGAATATGCAGGGGACGATCCCAATCTTTTGGTATCGGTTCAGACCCGATTTGTGACCCAGTATGTGGTCTATTCTGGAAAAAGTTCCATGTGCACTTGAGAAGAATGTGTATTCAGTTGAGTTTGGATGTAAAGTTCTGTAGATATCTGTGAAATCTATCTGGTCCAGTGTATCATTTAAAGCTCTCGTTTCTTTGGAGATGTTGTGTTTAGAAGACCTATCAAGGGTAGAGAGAGCTAGATTGAAGTCACCAAGTATAAGTGTATTATTATCTAAGTATTTCTTTACTTTGGTTAATAATTCGTTTAAGTATTTGGCAGCTCCCACATTCGGGGCATATATATTGAGGATTGTTAAGTCCTCTTGTTGGATAGATCCTTTAAGTATGATATAGTGTCCCTCTTCGTCTCTCACTACTGTCTTCGGAGTGAATTTTAGTTTATCTGATATAAGGATGGCTACCCCTGCTTTCTTTTGAGAACCATTTGAATGGTAAATGGTTCTCCAACCTTTTATTTTCAGGTTGTAGGTGTCCTTCTGTCTAAAATGAGTCTCTTGTAGACAGCAAATAGATGGGTCCTGCTTTTTTATCCAGTCTGAAACCCTGCGCCTTTTGATGGGGTCATTAAGCCCGTTCACGTTCAGAGTTACTATTGACAGATATGAGTTTAGTGTCATCATGATATCTATTTAGTCCTTGTTTTTGTGGATTGTTCCACTGAACTTCTTCTTAAAGGGGAATTTTAAGAGTCCCCCTTAAAATTTCTTGCAGAGCTGGTTTGGAGGTCACATATTCTTTCAGTTCCTGCCTGTCTTGGAAGCTCTTTATCTCTCCTTCCATTTTGAATGAGAGCCTTGCTGGATAAAGTATTCTTGGTTGCATGTTCTTCTCATTTAGGACCCTGAATATATCCTGCCAGCCCTTTCTGGCCTGCCAGGTCTCTGTGGAGAGGTCTGCTGTTACCCTAATATTCCTCCCCATGAAAGTCAGGGACTTCTTGTCTCTTGCTGCTTTAAGGATCTTCTCTTTATCTTTGGAATTTGCAAGCTTCACTATTAGATGTCGAGGTGTTGAATGGTTTTTATTGATTTTAGGGGGGGATCTCTCTATTTCCTGGATCTGAATGCCTGTTTCCCTTCCCAGATTGGGAAAGTTTTCAGCTAGGATTTGTTCAAATACATATTCTGGCCCTCTGTCCCTTTCGGCGCCCTCGGGAACCCCAATTAAACGTAGATTTTTCTTCCTTAGAGTGTCATTTATTTCCCTTAATCTGTCTTCATGGTTCTTTAATTGTTTATCTCTTTTTTCCTCAGTTTCCCTCTTTGC